GTGCGGGGCTTGGGGCCCGCTCGGTTCCCGGCGTGTGTGAGGGAAGCAGGCGGGCTGCCGGGGTGGCTGCTGCTGGGCCAGCGCGCCCGCCGAGGTGGTGCCAAAGAGGGCAGCGAAACAGCATCTTCCGGGTGCCAAGACTTAACTGGGCCCAGTTGGGGGCACGGGGTAAATGGAGAATGCCAGGCTCCGTGAGGCTGACCGTGGGGGAGGCTTCCAGGATTGCGTCCAGAGACCGCCTGGTATACCGGGCGCTTGCGTGCCCAGGGCCCAGGGCTGGTCCTAGCTGGAGTGCAGTGCCCAGACCCGGTTGGGAGGGCTTTCCTGCCATCCCTTTGTCTCACTCGTGAAAGGAATAAAATGAACTTTTAAAGAGACACTAGAGGGACCATCAGTTAGCGTAATGGCTGTGTTGCTGGACTCCCATGTAGTCGACCGCGGTTCGCATCCCGGACTTGGCAGCTTAAACTCACACCGGGTGCGTGTGCGTGCGTGCCCAAGATCCCGAGAGGAGAACGGTGGAGAAGGGATTGTGGCGTGACCATCCCCCCGGGGGGGGATTTCTTGCTTTCTGTCTCTCTCTGTCTGTCTGGCAAGCGCACGCACCCTATAGCAAACCCCTCCTCCCCCCAAATAAAAAGACACCGGAGCACTGGCCACTGTGAGAGCTGTGTCCTGCAGGGTGGAAAGAGCCGGACAGAGCAGCGTCCAGGCGGTGGGTGCGGAGGAAGTTCCTGAGGTCGGTGTGGGTAGCCAGCCTCGCAGGTAGCAATGTGACAGCCAGAACTAGCCCGGGAGTACAAGGGCAGCTGGCGTCTCACAGCTCGCGTGGCGCTGGGGGCAGCACACGGGCTGTCCGGGCCCCGAGCATCACCCAGAGCTGGGTGTCACGGGCACGGTGAGGGATGCAGTCCAGGGCCTGCTGTGCTGGATAGACCCACCCGGGAGGGCCCCGTGCCCGTGCCGGCCTCCCCCGAGCACGCTGGGCCTGCACCAGGTGTACCCGTGGCGGCAACTTCACCTTCACTCTAGACCTGGGGTGTGGGCAGGCAGCCGAGGGACCAGCGCCTCAACTCGGAGGAGCATGGCCGCGGCACACGTCTCACCTTCATCCCCAGCCCTACACCAAGAGGCTTCCTACCTGGCTGGCCGGCGGCCTGCGTGGGCCCGGAAACTCGGGTGTGCAGGGAAACCTGGGCTGGTCACTGTGGGCCGACTCCCTGCAAGAGGAGGCCCACCCACCCGGCACAGGGCAGGCCTGGGGTGCCACACAGACAGGGCAGGAGGCTGGCGTGGAAGCGGCCCTTCTCGAGAGCTCCAGCAGGAAGGGAGGCAGGTCCTCCCGGCCAGTGTCCTCAGCGTCAGGACATGGACAGGCCGAGGACGTCCTGCAGCAGTGAGTCCGGTGGACAGTTCTCAGAGCTGGGGTGGAGAACAGGTCACACAGACGGTGGCAGTGCAGTCTGAGTATGGAGTAGAGCTCCACGGGGCTGTCCTGTTGACGCCACACCACGTCCCAGGGGACAGCGGACAGGGTGCTGGGCCTGTGGGGGGCCTTCCTTTCTGCTGGAGCTCCCCAGAGGGCTCTTCCTCCAGAAGGCTCTGTGACTCTGGGCGGGCTTCAACCTCTTATAAAGCTGAAATGAGTTTGTGAAGGCTCACCTGTTGCAGCAGTGGCCCAAGGGTGTGGCGTGGTCTCCGGGTGTTTAACAGGGGTACTGGCGCGGGGAGGCCATAGGTACTCATAGTAGGGAAGTGCCCTGGAGTGAGGCTGTGCTTGGAGCAGGAGTGAGGACCTATTCGCAGGGGCGTTCTCTCTGCACGGCGGGGTCGCAGAGCATGGGCTCTGCTTGCGTTTGTGCCTCACCCAGAGCAGTGGTCTTGCACTGTGGCCTCTGTGGGCCCAGGCACTGTGGACGCTGGCTCTGCTCCAGGACCTGAGCTGGCTTGGATCTCGTGGAGACCGGTGAGTGTGCTGACGTCAGCCGCGCGGTGGGTGCCAAGGCAGACAGCAGCCTTCTAAGGCACTACCCGGCACCTGCAAGCCCGTGCCAGGCTCTGAGGAGGGAGGGGCAGGGTGAGGTCTCACGCACCTTAAAGCAACAGGAGGCATGGAGGACCCGGAGTGAGACGTGAGGCCCCGGCAGCCTGGCAGGTCACAGACACTGCCAATGCATGCTTGGTTCCAAGAGGCTGTGGCAACCCTGGCAGGTGCTGTGGTGGTGAGGGCTGTCCTTCGCCGCCTGCTGAGCTGTGCCCTGGGGACGCAGCTGCAGCTCTGACACCCAGCCTGCTCATCCTGGGAGGGTCCCAGCCTCAGGCCAGGATCCCACTGCCACCTGCACTTCTCAGAGGCGGCTGGGCCAGGCTGGCAGGGGCCCAGTCTCTGCCTGGTCCCTGCTGCTGTCTGGGAGCATGTCCCATAGCAGCTGTCTTTACAGATCCGCCAATAGCTTTCTTCGGAAAGAAAGTGACTTGCTCTGGCATGAGTGACCATTAGGCCGTACAGGGAACTTGGAACCATCTGTGGTCAAAGTAGCAGCGCTGGGGGCCGGCATGGAGTCTTGAGCCGTGTTTCTTCTTATGGCTCGGCCAGCCCCTCGTGGCCCTGCAATTCTGTCCTGACCATCTAAGGAACCCGAGTTCCTTTCCAGAGTCTGTCTATTGCCTGGGAAGGGACTTGGGGGGAGTGTGTGGCACAGCTGCCTGCAACCAGGAGGCGTCTGCTCCGGCCTCCAGGAGTCACGAGGCAGACGCAGAGGTCAGAAATGGAAGCTTCTCGCTGGGCTTGGGATATAGGTGAGTCGCGTGGCCTGGTGTGTCAGCCACCTGCCATGTCTCCCTGGGCTGTGATGTTTTTCTGCAATTATGTAAGTACCCAGCAGTGGAGATAAAACAGCCTGGCGGTTTGTCACAGGAGGGTCGAACACTTAACTGCTTCATCGTTCCTTCTTGCAGGCCTCGGGGCCCCGTCCTGCAGTGCGATGCTGGAGGGCTGGGATGGCTCTGACCGTGCAGCCATGTCTCATAGCTCTCCTGCTCACAGGGGACGCCGACTACAGCTCTGTGCTGCTGGGGATGCTGGTGACACAGGATGTGCAGCTGGGGCTGTTCATCGCCGCCATGCCCACCCTCCTCCAGGCGGGAGCCGGCTCGTCGCCCAGGTACCGGCCTGTCGGTGTGTGTGCCAGTCCGAGTTGCTCGCTTATAAAAAGGTCCAGCGTGCCTTTTCCTACGGCTGCGTGCAGAGCGCCAGCACCCATGGCTCAGACTGGCCCTTGGGTGGGAGCCGGCTCCTAGGCCCCTGCTGCTGGTCGTCACCTCCGGGGTGCACTCTCAGTGCCACCTAACAGGGTGGATGGGGGGAGGGCTGTGCCTAACAGGTGCTTTGTGCGTGTGATGTGCATGTGTGTGTGTCCAGAGCTGTCCCAGAGCGGGTAGGGCATGCCTGTGTGCGTGTGTGTGCAACACTGCCCAGAGTGGGTGCCGTGTGCCTGAGTGTGTGTGTGCGCAACACTGTCCCAGAGCGGGTGCGCATGCCTGGCGCGCGTGTGTGTGACACAGTCCGAGAGCGGTATAGCATGCATGCGTACGTGTGTGTGCCACACTGTCCCAGAGCTGGCGTGATGTGCCTGTGTGCGTGTGCATGTGACATTGTCCCAGAGCTGGCGTGGCGTGCCTGTGTGCATGTGCAATACTAGGTGCGGGGTGCATGTGTGTAACACTGTCCCCAAGCCGGTGCAGCATGCCTGTGCATGTGTGTGTGTGACACAGTCCCAGAACGGGTACAGCGTGCCTGTGTACGTGTGTGTGCAACGCTGTCCCAGAGCTGGTGTGTGCCTGTGCACATATGCGTGTGTGTGACACTGTCCCAGAGCAGGTGCGGTGTGCTCGTACGTGTGTGCGTGTGTGTGCAATGCTGTCCCAGAGGAGGTGCTGTGTGCCTCTGCGTGTGCATCTGATGCCGTCCCAGCGCAGGTGCAGTGACAGTGAGGAGACTGACAGTTTAGTGTGAGCTGGGAGCCCTGAGCTGACCGCGGACAGGCCGGGGTGGTGGGCTGCAGGCTCCTCTCACGCGCTGGAGACCGGGGTGGTGCGGGGACCACGTGCCCCAGCGAGGCTGGCCAGCGGCAGTTCTTTCTCCCCACTTCTGTACCATGTCTGGACTCACATGCTCACATGTGTGCCAGGTGCTTCTCGAGCTGATGGGACTCACACTTGCTCCCATGCAGGGCCCAGTCCCACTGCACAGAGTAGTCGAGGTGCCGCCTGTATCGCTCTGAGCTGCCAGAGCGTGTCCCTGCTCTTCAGTGCAGTAACTGGCACTCAGAACAGGCTGGACCCGAAGGCACATCTCTGCGCTGACGTGGGGCCGGCTGCAGTGCCACACTGGCTGTGTGCTGGCGTAGGCCCCGACTGCCCAGTGTCTCGTCTGGGAGATGGGCTGGCACGGGTGCTCGCCGGGCCGTGTGGGGGGCCCAGGGCTGCAGCGCAGAGAATGGCCCACCCCAGGCCAGAGCATGTTTGGGGAAGTCGTGGGGGGTGAGTTGGAAAGGTGACTGTAGGCGGCACTGCAGAGGAGGGAGCAGAGAGCAGGGCGGTCACAGGAGTGCTGGCCTCAGGCTGCACTAGCCTCTGCCCCAGTGGCTGATGGGGCAGAGCTGGGAGAGGGACTCAGGGGGCTGCTCCATGGCTGAGGGAAGAAAGGCTGGCAGGCTGGCTAGCTTCCCCCAATCAGAACGGTGCCCTTGGGTGCGTGGGGGGCAGGGGGCGCAGATGGCGGTGCCCTCGGACACGTGGGGGCGCAGACTGCGGTGCCCTCAGACACGTGGTGGAGAGTAGATGCGGCTGGGAGGAGTCTGACTGAGGAGCAGGAGGGCGGCTGCCGGATAAGCGGTGGCTTCTTTGCTGGGCAAGGCCCAGGTCCGAGCCAGGCAGGCCTCAGAGAGGACGGGAGGTGCTGACTGGCCTGGAGGCCTGGCCGGGCTGGGCCGCACATATGCTGGGCCGCAGCTGCAGACATGCCTCTGCCTCTGCCCGCCAAATGCAGAACCGAGTCGGTAACTTCAAGGGTTCCTGCGTCTGCAGTGGGCATGTTGCCCGCTTGCCTCCCTGCTGCTCCGGTTCCCTGCGTGCTCAGGCGGTGGCCTGAGGGCTGCATTCCTAGCACAGCTTTCTGTCTTTGTGCCGTGACGGGCACTGTCCCAGACCACGCAGGGTTTTTCCCACTGGCAAGGAGGACCAAGTGGGATTCTGGCCAGAGCAGCGGATGGCTAAATTTAGAAACACGTGTGATTGCAAAGCCCGCAAGCACGTCGGGGGTGCCGCTCATGGAGTCTTCAGGCTGCGATCCTAATCGATTCTGAGATCTGACTAGCGCACGACCGCTTCCTCCATGGCTGCGTGCTCGACGTGCTCAGAGCTGGGCCCGGGACTACTGACATTTTGCCCACAGTGGCTGGGATTCTTCATCCTGCTTCCTGGGTGAAACCACATTGCCCCACTGGGGGAAGCTGTCGCCTCGCAAAGAGCCCCCAGCGGGGCGAACTCCTCGTGGGGGTGTTCTGGCACGCGCCGCTGAGCTGGGAAAGCTCTCTGTCATCAGGCTGTACACCCCAGAGACGTGTCTGCTCCAGCTTGCAGACAGCCCAGCCTCTCTGTTTGAGTCAACTGACTTGACTGCTGGGATCGATAGGCCTTCACAGGTTGTCGTTAGTATTTAGAAATAACAACCCGCACGAGCTGGGCGTTCACTGTGTAACACGTTCGGGAGGGAGCCCGAGGTGACGGGACTGGCTCCTGGCGCGAGCATGGAGGAGTCACTCCTGCCTTCACTCCGTCTCAGTGTCATCTCGGAGGCGCTGCGTGTCCTGCTCCTGCTCGGGCAGAGCCTGCTCTCGCTGGCTGCCGTGCTGCTCTGGTGCCTGGCCGTGAAGACCTACCTCGCAGGGCCATACTGCCGGAAGCTGCACGTGGAGAGGAAGCGGAGCAGAGAGGCCGTCGTCTCGGGAGCGTCCGCGCTCACCTTCCTGATGCTCACGGTAACCTCCGCCCCCGGTGGCCCCCTCTGTCCCCAGAACGCTCGGCTCGCTCACGTGCGTCGATGAGCTGGGAAAGCCGTCTGTCATCAGGCTGTCCCCCGACACGTGTTGGGACGTTGGAAGCGCTGGTGTCCGCCTACCCCACACAGTGCACGTGCTGCCCGGTGCGGCGCCGCGAGCCCCGCCTGTCTGGCTGCGTGCCTCGTGCACTCAAGCGCTTTGCGGCAGTGTGCCCTGTGAGTGCTGCGCTGCTGACGAAGGCGCGGTCCAGGACGGCACGCAGGCCCCGACCCCGGACCGTGCCGCGCTGCCGTAAGCTGGCACCGAGGTAATAGGTGGGGTTTAAAATCACGTGCCGGTGCTGTGGCCATGCGAGCTGCCCACTGCTGCCAGCCTGACTTCGGCTGCCACGTGCGAGGGGCAAGGTGTGAAGAGGTGTGTGTCAGAGCTCACACTGCGTGGGAGGGTGCGTCCGTGCGTGATGGCGTGTCTGAAAGGACGGAGCCGCAGTGCCGGTCCGCGGCAGCACAGGCACTGCCCACCGCTCAGATGGACGTGCTCGGCCGGGCTCCCCTCCGCCTGGGGATGTGGACAAGCCAGGCAGGAGGGTGCAGTGGGGTTGCCGCCTGGGGTCCTGCCAAGGGAGCCTGCCTCTGTCTCCTTACTGAGGAGGGGAAGGGCACGTGCTGTGAGTCTCAGCTTGAAGGTGAGCCGGCTGTGGCGCCGTACGCGTGGTGTGCTGGCTGCTGGCACCCCTGGTGGGTCCGCTCTGGCTGCGAGGGCGCTCTGCTGCTGACACAGTGCAGGGCTTGCACTCCCCGCCGGGGCCAGCTGCCTCCTCTCTGTTCAGCGATGCCACTGGTCACGTGCCAAGGCTCGGTACACGCCACTGGCACCTCATGTGTCCGTGTCCATGCGATTCCCGTGCTAGACGTCACTCCTGCGCATCGTCATGGGGCAGCCCACCACACAGAGCCACGCGACTCACCTTGTCTCCTTGTGTGTGGTTTGCAGTAAGGTGTGTGCGCTCACTGGAGAGGGAGAGAGGGAAAGCGAGAAATCTCCCCCACTCTCCTTCCGGGGTTTTGGGCACGTGTGCACACACCTGGACATGTGTGCACACACCTGCCGTGATTTTTCAGGCTGCTGGGCCAAGAGCTGCAACTGCAGTTGGCCATTTGAGCCCCAGCCTCTGACCTCTGACGTCTGCCGCCCACAGCTTAGCTTCCTCCTGTAGACGTCAGGGTCTGCCCCGCCCCGGCTGCTCTGACGGGCTGCTGTACACCCCCACGTGCATTTGAATCGTGGTGCTGTTCCCATCGTTCCATGTGTGGTGGTGGAATGGCTGGGCCCTTGGTGTAGACACCCTTAACCCTGTTTTTAAATATGCCAAAGGCACGTACTCTCTGGGAGAGAGGGAAGTGAGAGGACACTCTCGGGGGTGGGCGCCCTGCAGCCCTTCCCCATTCGCCCCCAGGATTGTGGAAATGCACACACGCGTGCTTGGGGTGTTTCTCAGGCTGCCAAGTCTACAACTCAGACCGTGCAGGCAGCCCTGTGGGATCCAGCTGCTGTAACCTCACGCCCCGGACGGGCTCAGCATGCTGGAGTTACTCTCACCGGTGTTCCCAGAGGAGCTAGACTGGCTCTCGTAGCTGTCACGTGAGTGATTGACGTGCCTACGGCAGCTCTGGGCACCGCGGGGCTCCTCGTCCTCGTCCTGCTGGTGAGTGGCCATGGTGACCCACTCACTGGGCTTTCTGTCCTGTCTCCCCAGCAGCTGGTGCCGTGGGCACCCTCCGCCCGCTGCTTAGCCAGCTGGAGTCAGGGTGCACCATGAGCGTCTTGAGGGGCTCTTGCACAGGCCAGCCCTGTCTCGTGTGTGCGTGGGGACCCTGTGTGTGCTGTGGCCAGCTCTTTATCAAGGTGTTTTTTTGGCCGAGATGAGATGACACAACACAAGACTATTTTCTTGTTTCTTTCTTTCCTTTCCTAAGGGTTGCCGTAGGGCATGTGCACTTGCCAGAGAGACGCAGAGAGGGAAAGTGAGAAGCCACCCTCCCCAGGGGGACGGCCACATTGCAGTCCCTTCTCCTGGGATTTTGGGCACATGTGTCCAGTGAGACCCTCCAGCCATCAGGTCCAGGACTAGAGCTGTGGTTGGCCACGTGGGGACCCGGTGCCTTCACCAGCACCCCACCTGCCGGCTGTAGGGGTCGCTGTCTCAGCGTGTGCAGTCCCGTGGTTCCCAGCGTATCCGTGATCTCGTGGCCGTCACCACTGCCTAGTTCTAGAACATTCCATCACCCCAGGGAAACCACTGCTCCCAACCTGCCTCTCCATCTGTCCCCTGGCAGCCACCACCTACTGTCAGTCCCTGCGGGTTCCATGTCCCTGGAGGTGTGCAGGCTGTCCCTCAGTATGGGGTCCTCGCGCACTGTGGTGTCCAAGGCTCACCCGTGCCGCGGCGTGTCCGGCAGGCTGCCCTCCCTGCTGAGATGCTCCCTGCAGTCGTGCATCCCCTGACCTGTCGGTGTGGCCCGCCCTGATGAACGGGGCCTTTCTACTTTGCCCTTTCTCTGTGTCTGGGCAGAGGAGCAGGTGCTCATGGGTCAGGCTCCGCAGGCCTGGTTGTGCTGCGTCCCCCGCCAGCCCCTTGGCACTTGGACTCTCACACAATCCAGACATGTCTCAGGCTGGCCAGGCCGAGGCCCTGGGCCGCACTCAGCACGTGGGGTCCAGCCTCTCCTGAGCAGCTGCCTCCATGCCGCGAGGCCAGCCTTTGTGAGCAGACGTCCCTGATGCCAGCGCTACCAGTCTCCGCCACCACCTGTGGCCGGCGCGTGGACGTTCTCGGCTCCTGTGGCTGTGCAGGTGCCATCGCTCTGCTGCTCCTCAGCATCCTGGGGCCTCCAGGTGAGGCCAGTGTCTGACGGAGTGCACTGCTCGCTGCACTGTGCAGCCCTCGCGGCCACGGCTCTGCACTGCCTTCCTTCAGAGCCACACGGCCAGACCCCTGGAGGGCGGTGGCTAAGTGCATACTTTGGGAGCTAGAGCCCACGTGGTGGTCACTGCTCAAGTCCTGGCCCTGGCCACTTGGGGGAGGGGAGAACAGGACAGGATTGTGTGTGACCCGGGCTCTGGGGGGGCATACGTACTCTGTGGCAGTCATGAAAAGAAGATTAAAAACTGCCGTGTGTGGGTACATTACGCGCATGCAGGCATGTGTGTGCTCGTGTTTAGGCATGTGTGCTGCATGCACACACCTGTCATGATTCATGCGTGTGTGCGTGTGCACTCTTACAGGCCTGTATGGCACATGTGTGCACACATGTGTTATGTGTGTGCATATGCACATGCTCTTTTCTTTTTTTTTTTTGAGAGGTTTTTGCTATAGGGTGTGTGCGCTTGCCAGAAAGAGAGAGAGACAGAGAGATAGAGGGACAGAAAGTGAGAAATCACCCCCTAGGGGGGTGACCATGCCGCAATCCCTTCTCCTCCATTCTCTCAGGAATCTGGGCACACACGCACATGCACCCGGCGTCAGCTGCCACCCTCTGGGTCCTGCTGTGTGGCTCACGGTCGGTGGTGGGAGCATGTCCCTGCTAGACATGTCTTTGTGACACAGAGGTTCTGAGTGCACTCTGGGGGGCGTGCCCATGCAGGCACGCATGGTCACCTGGCTCGTCCCTCCAGGGTTCTAGGCAGATCCTCTCCGCCTGCGGTTGGTCGCTGGGCCGGCTCCCACCCATCACCGCAGCTCCCCCAGCCGGCCCAGCCTGTGTCCCGCTGTCCTCACTGTGCTCACCAGCCATCTGCCGGGCTAAGAGCTCCTCGGCCGGAGCTGTGGCCAGTGGCCCATCACTGTGTGGCCCCATGTGCTGTGTGAACACTCCCCCACAGGTCACGGAGCTTTGGCCAGTGGCCCGTCTCTGTGTGGCCCGTGTGCTGTGTGAACACTCCCCCCCCAGGTCACGGAGCTGTGGCCAGTGGACCATCGCCATGTGGCCCCATGTGCCATGTGAACCTGACCCTCCTCCCCCCAGGTCACGGAGCTGTGGCCAATGGCCTGTTGCCTTGTGGTCCCATGTGCCGTGTGAACCCTCCCCTCCCAGGTCACAGAGCTGCTGGGCGTCTCCATGGAGCTGGGCTGCTTCCTGGCCGGGGCCCTCGTCTCTTCCCAAGGCCACGTGGTCACCGAGGAGGTCGCCGCCTGCATCGAGCCTGTCCGTGACTTCCTGGCTGTCATCTTCTTCGCGTCCATAGGTGAGCTTCCTGCCGTCTGGGAGGGCGGGCATCCATGGGCTGGCGTGTGGGGGCCTGAAGCCTTCTGGGTTTGAGAACGTCCCGTCCATAGGAGGCCACGTCTTGGGATGGGGCCTGAGTGTGACAGACTCGATGTGTCATGGGCCCCTTGCACACTTGGCTTGGGGATCACTTTGTACGGCAGCGACTCACCGGCAGCTCATCATGGAGCCCAAGTGTGGAATGCCCCACCCCTGCCGTCACGTCGCTGCTCGGAAGGTTTCGTGTCTTGTAGCATCTCGGATTCGGCCATTGTTTGCGGGACACCAAACTGGTTGCCGATGAGCTCCGTGACACGCCTGGTGTGCATGTCACCGTGCGTCTGTCTTAGGTGGCAGAGGCGGTGTCTCAGCCGCCGTGTGTCCAGGTTTGGGTTGGTGGCAGCCAGATGTGGGGGGGAAGCCTCTCAGGAGGTGGGTATAGACGCTGTGGGCCACAGTTCTAGCCACTGACATGCTTCAGCCGTGCTGGGTGTGCTGTCTGCACTGAGGACAGCCCGGTTACCCTCAGAGGACGGGACCACGTCCTCCTGGTGGTCCAGCTTGTGAGGGCTGCGGACCGCCGAGACAAGGGCGGGGCTCGGGTTTAGCACTTGGGCTGGCGTGTTCCGGAGGGCGCCCTCCGCGGCCGTCTCCAGCAGCCGGCTAAGGAGCAGCAGGATGTGGGATTACTCTGGCCACGACATCCCGGGCACCCGCCCTCGGTGCCCCTCACAGTGACGCTGTGTGCTCCGTGGTGCTGGCGCTGGCGCTGCCCTGGGAGGTGAGAGCACAAGCAGGTCTGAGGCTGCGTGCACACGACGCCGCTGCAGCCAGGGCAGCCTGAGGACTGCGGGCCAGGAGGCTGTGTGTGTGGGAGGCCCAGCGAGGCTGGCGTGCCTGCTGGCCTGCTCACCTGCTCAGTTCTGGGCACCGTGAAGCTGCGAGGCATCTGTCCTCGAGAGATGCCCTGGGCTGCTGGCGTCCCCGCCTCCTGCCACTGTGCCCCCTCCAGCTGTGCCCCGACTCCTGCCATCCCCCGCCTCCTCCCACCACCCCCTCCTGCTGCCCCCATCGTGCGATGTCAGCGCTGCCTGCCCTGTCTTCACTGCTGTCCCTGCCGCTGTCTGCCCTTTAGACCAGCTCTGACCGCCGGCTCCGCCCCACGGCCTCCTGGTGCTGCCCCTTCTGGTCACAGCCCCGCCCACTGGGCCACAGCACCCCTGAATGGGTGGTTGAGAGCTGCACCCATTGAAATCCCAAGCCCACAGCTCGGGCAGGCGGGTTTGCCCTGACTGCCCCAACAAGGGTCTCCATCTCGCCGGGAAGCTGCGGTGTGCTCGGACTCCGCGTGCTCTCTCGTTTCTCTGCATGGGGTGTGCTGAGGACTTCGAGTTCATGTCCCTCCCTGTGCCCTGTTGTGGCTGGGCTTGTCCTCTGCCTCTCTGGGGTCCAAGAGCTTGGCCCAGGGGGCTCCCAGCCCCTCCGTGGAGCACAGGTGGATGGG